TATCAAAGAAGGGTATCATTTTTCTACGGGGTAGGATCCCTTGATTGATGCTAGGATTCACGAAGAAATTCCCTGTACCAACGAGAAACAAGGGAGTTGGATGCAGAATAGTGACGGCATACTGAAACAAGTTCGTTGAGAACTTACCTCACATACGGCTGCACCTCGACAAGGTTGGTCAACACATATAGCATGATATTGCGCCACTCTTCAATACTCAAGTGCTTAGTGGTTGATGCACTTGCGCTTCCGAGTTGCCCTTGGAAAAGGCTGAGGTTCGATTCATTTTTGCCAGTATTGTAACAAGGGGGTAGATTATGCACGCTAGGAAGTTTCTTAGTGTAGTATTTTCTGTGAAGTTTGACACCTCCTCAAGAATGTATGCCTCTGCAATGGAAGCCTCAATTTTGGCTTTATTTCTACATTTTTTTGCGAAGAGTCTTTAGACATCTCTCGATTGGATAGCACCAATAGGACTGCACGAGCCCCCCATTTGTTCCACATACAGGAGGTGCACAATCAAATGCTGCAACGACAAAAAGAAGCCAGGTGGAAAGATCTTCTCCAACTTATAGAGCAACACAGGTGCCCCTTTTTCCAAGTCATCAATGACGGTCCGAGATAGCTCCTTGGCACAAAGCTGGCGCAAGAAATAGCTCAACTCTACCAGCACTAGCCAGACATGCTCAGGGACATAGCCCCAAACCATCGCCAGAAGAAGCCGCTCAATCCATATGTGGTAGTCATGACTCTTCATCCCGTTGACTCGCAGAGTAGATAAGTTCACTCCCCTCTTCAAATTCGCTGCATACCCATTAGGGAACATTAGCGTCTGGATCCATTCAAGTACTTCCCTCCTTTGTTTGCTGGTCAAGATAAAATCGGCCTAAGGCCTTCTCCAATTCTTGCTGCCTCTAGGAAGCTGCATCTCTTGATTTGGTCTATCGCATAACGTTGCCAGGTCCACTCTAGCCTTAGGGTTGTCCTTAGACTTTTCAGTGTCCATGAGTGTTGCCCAAAGTGCCTCGGCGACATTCTTTTCAGTGTGCATTACATCAATGTTATGTGGCAGAAGAAGGTCATCAAAATAGGGGAGCCTCGTCAAGCCCGACTTATGAGTTCACATATGTTGCTCACCATATCCCACAAAACCACCTTCTTGATTGGCCATGAGAGCATCTATCTGAGCATCAACCTCGGCACCAGTCATCATCCGTGGTGCAGGGCCTGACACTACGACACCTTTCGTAAAGTTCTTGATGTCTTGTCTGAATGGATGGTCAAGAGAGAGGAATTGATGATGTTTGTCAAACGACGAATACTTGCCACCCTTCTGCAACCAAATGAACCTCAGACCTTCCTTGAATATTGGGCATGGGAACTTCCCGTGAACACACCAGGCGCAGAATAACCCATACACCAGGAAGTCATGCAGGGAGTAGTGGTACCAAACATGCATTTTGAAGCTTGTCTTTGTAGCTCGGTTGTATGTCCATACCCCTTCCTCCCAAGCACGGACCAATTCATCGATCACAAGCTCCATGAACACTCCCATATTACTCCCCGGGTGTCTAGGAATAATCAACGACAAGAATACGTTCTGTCGTTGAAAGGAGACGTCGAGGGGAAGATTGAGGGGGATAACGAACATGGGCCAACAAGTGTATGGGGCCGACATCAGTCCATAAGGATTGAACCCATCTGTTGACAGCGCAACACGTACATTACAAGCCTCATCGGCTTTCTCACGATGTTTGTCGTCAAAGCGGGTCCATGCTTCACCATCGGATGGATGTACCATCTTGCCAACATTGTATTGTTTGCCCTTTCTGTGCCATGTCATCTGTTTCGTGGATTCCTCGGTCATGTATAGCCATTGGATCCTTGGTAGGAACGGAAGATGCCGTACGATTTTCACGGGGATCGTAAGCTGCCTCTTCTAGCCATCACCAGAGTCTACCTCTAGGTACCTGGAGGATTTACACTTTGGATAGTACTTTGCATCCTTGTGTTCTTTCCTAAATAGGACGTAGCCATTTGGACAAGCATGTATCTGCCCATACGGCATCTTAAGTGCACGAAGGAGTTTCTATGACTCGTACAAGCTCTTTGGCAGAACGTGGCCCGCTGGAAGTAGGGTGCCAATCACGGCCAACATCTTATCGAAGCCTTCTCGACTCAGGTTTAACTTAGACTTCAACCCCATTACGCGTCCAATAGCATCCAGTTGAGAAACCATTATCCGATCATGAAGGGGTTTCTGTGCCGAGTCCATCATGTCGTAGAACGCCTGTGCGGCTGCCTCCATCTCATCCTCACGTCCTTTAGCGAACTGTGTTTGGTGAGCGTCATCTAACATGTCTGCTACCCCGGCATCAGCATCATAAGCCTCGACGCGTGGTCTCACCACCTCCTCTCTCATACGATGGGCTTCACCATGGTGGACCCACCGGGTATAGTCTGGCGTAAATCCATTCTTCAAAAGATGTTTACCCATGTTGTCCTTGTTTACCCTTTTCCTGTTTGCACATTTGGGACATAAAACTAGACTCAGGGATTTAGCTGCCTTGCCAAATACACGGTTCAAGAAAGCATTGGTCTTGTTCATCCATTCATTGGTGTAATCACTCTGACTTCTCTAGCCCGTGTACATCCACTGACGGTCATCCATCATCTAACATATATATCACCGAGCAAAGTAACCATCAATTGCATCTACATGGTGTTCCTACTGTCTAATAGGTGAGGATAGGTCCTAATCCCACCCGTGGATGCGTAGATGAGGTTAGTCTCCATGGTCTATTCCTATCTGAGATAGAATTTCGGCAGCACCTCCCCACTGTTCTCCAGATACACGTCTTGCCAGGGAGAGTGTGTATCCGGAGAACAACAGGGAGGTGATGCCGAAACTCTATCTTGGATCGGAATAGACCACGAAAACTAATCCATCTACGCATCCGCGAGCTGTCCAAAAAAACGTGGACAATCCAAAACAGATACGGTCGTAGATATGCAACGATCTGCATACCTCCAACCGTATCTCTTTCGAACGGGAGGCGCCTAACTGGGTTACGCGATCTACGACCATGATACGGAAAGAGGGGTTATACCTAGGGTGGCGGTGGAGTCAAGCTAGCGAGGCCATGGTGGGTTGGTGCAGTGGCGAGGCGACGCGATGCAGGTAGGCCCGCAGCGGTGAGGAAGACGATCGGGGTTGCCGAGATACTCCGGCTCGGCTACGACGGCTCTTCTCTACAAAAAAAGAACAAAATACTATCTCAGTTCAAAATTTCAGTAGAACCTCTCCTGCACGGTGAGGTATCCAAAACCTGCAAAAAACATACGGCACAATGGCCGACAACCACATATACATATGCATTCAATTCAACATATCATTGCCAAGTCACATTCAACCACCATCGCCGCCGCCGCCGCCACTCTACTCTTCTACTACTACAACCACCACCGCCGCCGCCACTCTACTCTTCTACTACTACAACCACCACCACCGCCGCCACTCTACTCTTCTATTACTACAACCACCACCACCACCACCTATTACTACTACTACTTCCACAACCACCTACTGTACTACTACTACCACCACCACAACCACCTACTACTACTACTCTACCGAACTCTACTTCTACTAAAACATACTACCACTACTACTCTACTACTCACCTATGGTGTCGGGGTCGGCCGAGGCACGCCGGGGACGGGGAGAGGATGGCCGCGGCGGTTGGGGGCGCCGAGGACGGCCGGGTCATGTGTGTCAGGGCGGCTGCATGGGCCGCTGAGTTGGAGCGACAGGCGTGGGAACAACGGCGTCGACGGTCATGATGTCCGGGCGGCCGGTGTGGGCGGGCCGACGGGTGAAGGCGGTGGGGGCACGTCGACGGGGGGCGCCGTCGTGCGCGGACGGCGGAGCGACGGGGGCGCGTCGGCAAGGTGGGGCGATTAGCGGCGCGGCGGGCAAAAGCGGTGGGGGCACGCGTCGGCGAAGCGCAAGCCGTCGCTGTGGCGGCGGAGCAGCGGGAGGAGGCGGAGCGGCGGGGGCGGTGGGGGAGCGTCGGCGGGGCGGGGCGGGCAAATGACTCCTGGTTTGTAAGCATCGTACGTGATAACGTGCACCAAACCTTCTCAAATTTTTCTCACATCCTCCACATACGATATCATGACATCTCGACAAGTTTCATGATTTTCGGACTTCGTTTGCATTTTATAGAATTTAAAAACAATTCATCCGTAAGTTCGTGGTCATATTTTGTGAACAAGATGTTCGAAATTTCGGGTCCGTTCCTGTTCCTGGATACGGCCTCACACTACACTCAATACCATGAATATTATTTTTTGAATCATTAAATTCTATTATTCGATGCACGTGCAGTTTAAATTTGCATTTTCTGAAAAAAAAATCAATTAAATAAAATAAATTAACTAAATATAGCTAAAAGCTATAAAAATGTACCAAATTTTAACATGGAGTCTCATGTACTGTAGGAGGACTCGAGAAAAATTTTGAAGTTCAAAAGTGGAAAAAAATAGTTTGCCGTTATTCTTTACCGAGTGTCAGGGTCTGACACTCGGTAAAGAAGTGGTTTACCGAGTGCCTACCCGCTGGCACTCGGCAAACCTGGACGGCAGGTGACGGCCGTTACCTGACGTCGTTTTTTGCTGAGCGCTAGGGTTTGCCGAGTGCCTGACACTCGACAAAAAGAGCCTTTGCCGAGTGTCTAGCTTTGCTGAGTATCTGACACTCGGCAAAGCCTTCTTTGTCGATTGTATATCATTGCCGAGTGCGGCACTCGACAAAATAGCTCTTGGCTGAGTGCCTGACTTTTAGCCCTCGGTAAAGGCCCTGTTTCCTGTAGTGCTTAAAATAACTTCCACTATCGGCGCGACATGTTCCGATTAAACCGTTCAGGTACCGCCGGGTGGACGGCGGGCACGGTCGCCAGGCGGGCTTGCTGCTCAGGCAGACAGGGCTGGCCGCAGTTTTATTCGTCAATGCCGCGCCATGCTCCGTGGAAGAAGTGGAGACCGACGGCCGAGAGCAGTATGCGTCGGACCGCCGGGGTTGGGGATAGGAGCTGCTTCCACACCTGCATCTCACTGCCGTTTCGCTCCTTATTGGGTACGGTGACCACGTCTCCGTCGAGGTCCTTCGGAATCCCCGCCGCAGCCTTGATGTCAGCCAGCCGCTCTGCGGCCTCCTCTGGCGTGGCAGAGGTCTTCTCTAGCACAGCCCTGGCGTCCGCGAGGCGGCCCTTCATGACCAGCCACCGAGGCGACTCGGGCATGCAGAACACCAAGAGCGCGAGCAGGGCGGACGGAACTGCGCCAATGGCGAGCATGACACGCCAGCCGAGGTGGAGCGGGAGGCGCGAAAATGCGTAGTTCGACAGGTAACCAAGCAGGATGCCGATGTTGATGAACACTTCCGGGAAGGACGTGAGGAAGCCGCGGGATGCCGCCGGCGAGATCTCGGCTGTGTACACGGGCGCGATCATACCCCCGTAGCCCACACCAACTCCGGCTACGAAGCGGCCCACCATGAGCATGCCGTAGTTGTCGGCGAAACCCATGAGCAACGCGCCCACGAAGAAGATGACAGCGGCGAAGACGACGGTCAAGCGGCGGCCGATCCTGTCGGACGTCCGCGCGCCAGCGAAGGATCCGATGACCGAGTAGAGACTGACGATCCCTATCAGGATCTCCAGCTGCACGTCCGTGATCTTCAGGTCCTTCTTGATGTACATCGCCGCTCCACTCATCACCCCAATGTCTACAGAGGTGGCGAACAGTACATAAAATTCACCTACGAACTCTTAGAAAGCAAAATGAAAAATATTTCGACAACAACGAAAGAGTGGATACCATAGCCAAGGATGACGGAGGCCATGGAGGCGAGGATGGCACACATGGAGGCATACTTGACGTTGCTCTTCTTCCTGGGCTCTACGGCCTCTCCGAGGTAGGCGGAAGCCATCCTTAACGGCTAATTCTTTGATCTCTGATTAGAGACAAAAATGTCGTGTGCAGTGGTTTGCCTAACTCTTGTGTTGAAGTAGACGCATATATATAGACAAGAGGAAACAATCATGGCCGGTCCTTTAAACTTGGCAATAGGGTGTTACCTAGGTCATGTACTCTCAAAATGCTATTTTTTAGTTTCTAAATTTGGTTTCGCGTATAATCTGGGTCCAAACGGATCTTAATTGTCTCTATATGCTGACATGGCATTTTGTGGGGCCCACTTGTCAGGTCCTTATCTCTCTCTGATTCTTCCCCTTTTTCTATCTCCTCCCCTCCCTCACCGCCGACAAGCACGATCTTCGATGCCACCATTACGCCAAGGCCCACTGTGCGGCACCCCACGAGGCGGATGGAGAGGAAAGCGGGACAACGACCAGGACGTCATCGACGACGCCGACGCGTGCTGCTACGACATGGACGGGCCAGACAGTTCTTGGGAGGCGGCAGAGGCTCTGGAGCTACGACGACGATCGAGATGTCGGTGACACTACCGGTGTGGGCCCGAGCTTGTCGGCGGCATTGTTGGTGTCAGGCTCCTCAGGGCCGGGCTCAAGGAGCAGCGGCAGGCTGAGTGACGAGTCCGGCTCCGACAGCTACGGGCCCCAGCGGAGGAGCCGACGCAGCGGCTCCGCCGCGGCAGCCCCCGACGACGCCTACTGCTTCCGCAGCCACAGGAGATCCCGCCACCTCCTCGTGGGGATCTTGGGATCCGTGGCGTCCTTCACTGTCGCCACCGCCTCCGCCCGCAGCATCTCTGGCTGCTGCTATGGCGCCGGGTGGATGCTACTGCTTCGGCAGCAGCAGCGTCGACTGCGCCGCCATCTCCTCCACCTGGGCGCACCCCGCTCGGCTCCAACAGCCCCGCGCTGTGCCAGGTGGCGTTCCAACGGGTTCACGTGGTGTTCGCCGGCCGTGACATCCTTCACACGCTCGTCGTGCGCTACGCGACGAGGCTCAAGGAGATGGAGAAGCCCATGGAGGTCGACATGCTAGAGGGGCAGGAGAACGCCTTCTTCTCCCGCCAGCCATGGAGCGAGGCCAGTGGCGGTGAGAGAGTGATGGAGCACACCCGTTTCGTCCGCGGAAGCGGGGATGCGAAGCAGGACCAACTTTCCCCAGAGAAGAGCTTGTCGGCGGGGAGCATGGAGCAGGTGTCGGCGCATCCACCGAGCAGGAACTCGAAGTCGGCGCTGGTTCTGGGGCCGGGCTTGACACGACGAGCAGAAACTCGAAGCCAGCGGTGAGCAAGTGAAGGAGAGAGAAAAAGGAGAAGAATAGATATTGAGTCTGAATTGCTGTGAGGGAAAAATACTATTCCGACTGAAAAAATAAGTCGAACAAGCCAAATTTAAGACAAGCGAACGGAGCCAACGACCTAACAATTGGGCCCCAAAATACCACGTCAATGGGTACAGAGAGAGTTAAGATCCTTTTGATCCATATGAGATTCGAAACTAAGTTTAGGGACTTAAAAATAATATTTTAAAAGTATATGGATCTAAGTGACACTCCATGCCAAGTTTATGGATCGGTCATGAATTTTCCTTTATAGACAATGAGCAATGCTTGAAGATATAATCTTGATCATTTTAGAGCATCTTTATAAGTTCTCTTATACTTTTCTCTATCTCTTAAATGAAAATATAACAGTTGCGTTCAGATCTTCTATCACATCTCCTATCCCTATATTCTTTAGAAGACCTAAATTCTCCACCATCTCTCCAAAATAAGGGGAAATATCTCCCTCTCCTAAATCAGGATGAGGTCTTGGCAATTTGCTGGAGCAAATGTATCTCATATTCTAAAGTTGTTTTTAAGAGATATCCTATAACTGTTTTTTTTATCGGGTACAATTCAGACGCACATAACCCATACACTCCACACTCACACCACACGCACACACACGTTCACGTCCGTGCACACGTAAAGAAGAGATTGGGAGGCGCGTCGCCTCCAGTGCGCGGGAAACACGCAGTACCACCAAACGCGCACGCGTGCGTGTACCCTAAAGTTCTGGAAAAATTCCAGAAAAAGGTGCGATCACCGAACACGCACGCGTGCGTGTACCCTAAAATTTCTGGAAAATTTTTAGGAAAAGGTGCGATCACCAGGTTTTGAATCTAGTGGGTAGCATTCCACTGGACAGCCCTACCACTGGACCACAGGTCTATTCGTACTCCCATGACTGATTATAAGGGAGAAGGAATAGAAGATCCAGTGTAGATGCTCTGAAGCCCTCTTTTAGTGAACGGTACCGTGACCTTTTGGACCGCCAAGAATAGGCAGTTCAGCACTTCAGCTGCACCATGCTCCACGAATCTTTCCTTTCTTTTACTTTCTCCGTTCTGGAAATTTTCTCAGACTGAAATATAAGGTATTTTAAAAACTAGTGGACAAGCATGTATGCTATGTACGTCTTCAGTTCATGCATAGCATGAATGTCTCTTTATTAGCAATCTAACCCCTGCAATTTCCAAAATTAAACCACTATTTTGTGAGTCATTCTATCCTTCAAGCTAACCCCCACCATGTACCCGATATTTTGATCGAGTATGTCACGGCATGCTATCGTAATCACAAGAAAATCTTTTTGAAATTCGAATTCTTATTTCTACATCTATTTGATGATGTCATAATTACCTTTTGGATTTAATTATGTTAAAAATGTCAATTTTGTTTTCAACCTTTAAGTCTCAGTTCCAAAAAGAATGCAACTATAGATGCATTCTACGTTAAAGTGCTTAAAATTTGACCAAATATATAGGTACAAATATTAATGTTTATGACGTCAGATATGTTTCATGATGAATTTGTTGGTACATATTTAGTATGATAAATATTAATATTGTTTATATAACTTTGGTCAAACTTGACAAACTTTATTGTAGCATTGTTCTAGGATTGCATCCTTTTTGGAACGGAGCAAGTATATAGGTGTGCAGCAAAAGTTATGTACCTAAAAAGCCAGAACGACTTACAATTTGAAATGGAGAAAGTAGAAGAGAAGAGATGCAAGAGGATAATCCTGAAGAAAGGTTTAGGAGTTTGAACAACGTTTTAACATTTGCATAGGTATGTGTCTAATATGATAAAACTCTAAGGATTTTACCTTGTATCCTTGCTTACCTGGGTTGCATGATGATGAGTAGATATGCTTAAAGTTTTTATATATGATTAATGGTATATAGAACTTAAGTTAAAATGGTATTCTTTAGCAACATAGTTTAGGGCCTGGAGAAAATGTCATGTCAAAATTATTGACTCGAGCCTGACCTGATGCATTTGTTTTGGTCGGGTCATGGTCTATAATCATGACTCAAATTATTTCCCTCAAAAAAATAAAATAATCATGACTCAAATTCGACCCGATGCACTTGCGGATCGGGTCGTGTGGCCTTTGATCAGATCTATTTATGGGGTTAAAGCATTGAGTATTTTACATTACTCTTGTATATCCTCTCTAATTACATGTTCTTAAAGCAACAATCTAGTACTTACAGTACAATTACAAGCATATTGCTAATTAGTGTTAGCAGCGCCACAATAGCGGCACCGCTATGTAGTTGTTATGACACTATTCATTATATGGATGATTGAAATGGTGATGTGGATGGTTCCAGTGGTAGTAAAAATGTTAAGATAGGCCTTGTTTAGATTCCAAGTTTTTTCACTCTCTCTCCATTACATCAAATCTTTGGACACATGCATGGAGTATTAAATGTAGATAAAAAATAACTAATTACACAGTTTGATTGTAAATTATGAGACGAATCTTTTGAGCCTAGTTAGGCCATGATTGGATAATAATTGTCAAATACAAACGAAAGTGCTACAGTGTCAAATATTGATTCCTAACCGCGAACTAAACAAGGCCATAGTGATTTGAACAATGATAAAGAATGATGGAATGATTGATCATATCATTTTGAATTGAGAACTTTATTTTGTCTCCACGTGTCTTTTTTTATATCTTATTCATTTATATGCATGCTTCCTTGTGATTTTATTTCATAATACAACAATTAACTAAAACTTTTAGTTATTTTATAAGCAAACATGATATTAATATTGTCATCTGCTCCAAAAATGACTATATTTTTAATATTCTGATAGAACTTAGCGTCCATATAGCACCCATTATCCGTAATACACTATGCAGACACATATCCGCTACGAAATCGCTATCCGCTATTTATTAGCTTGACTAAAGGAGTTAAATTACTCTGGTATTAGTTAATTAATTAGATTAGCTCTAGTATTTCAATAGCTTACTCAAAGAGCAAAATGCGTGTCGTGATGGGTATAACCATGGCTTTGTAACTTGCAAATTAAAGCACACGCGACACTGACACCAATAATTCACACCATCGCGCGCTCCACATAAACGAGTACACGACGAACAGGACAAACAGAAGAGCAGAAGAATTAAGAAAGTTCTTGTAACCATCAAACCATGCACAAGAGTTCTCGGGTTGGGCCTCGCCGTCACCGTCGGACTGTCCTACGTGCAGGCTGCAGCAGCACGGCACCTGAGAGGTGAATAGCTCGGCTCTGTGAGACTGAATCTGCGGAAGCTGTTTCTTGGTTTCCTTCTAGCTCGTGGGCATTTCCACTACTTTCTCCTTGGCAGCGGTGTTTTCTGTTTCAGCCATGTCCGTGTCTTCCATGCCGAACAGCTTGCCCATTTCCTCCAACGTCTGACCTCGAGTCTCCGGGAGGTAGGTGAAGAAGAAAACCCACGCGAGCGCGGCGATGCCGGAGTAGAGGAAGAAGCTGCCGCCGATGGTGATGGCCTTGGAGAGGGACAGGAAGGTCATGGAGATCACGCCGCTGGTAACGCGGTTACTGGCCACGCCGACCGCGAAGCCCAGCGCGCGCACCCGCAGCGGGAAGATCTCCGAGGGGTAAACCGACCCCATGGGCCCGAGCCCTATCGAGAAGAACGACACGTAGACCAGGACGGACAGGATGCACAGGGCGACGGCCCACGGGATCTTGGCGTCCGGGTGGTGCCCCACGACGGTGAGGCCCGTCCCGAGGCCGACGAGCGAGATGATCATGCCGCCCACGCTGCTCAGTAGGAGCGGCCGCCGGCCGACTCTGTCGAGCAGGAACGTGGCCACCAGGATGAAGAGCGTCTTGGTGACGCCCACCGCGCAGGTGGTGCCCAGGAGCTTGTTGTCGTCGGTGATTCCCGCGCTCTTGAACACGCGCGGGCTGTACAGGACGACGGAGTCGATGCCAGAAGCCTACTGGAAGAAGTGGAGGCCGACGGCCGAGAGCAGTATGCGTCGGATGGCCGGGGTTGGGGATACGATGAGCTCCTTCCACACCTGCTTCTCACCACCGTTTCGCTCCTTGGGAACGGTGACCACGTCTCCGTCGAGGTCCTTGGGAATCCCCGCCGCAGCCTTGATGTCGGCTAGGCGTTCCGCGGCCTCCTCTGGCGTCTCAGTGGTCTTCTCCAGCACCGCTCTGGCGTCCGCGAGGCGGCCCTTCATGACGAGCCACCTAGGTGATTCGGGCATGACGAACACCATGAGCCCAAGCAGGGCGGACGGCGCCGCGCCGATGCCGAGCATGACGCGCCAGCCGAGGTAGAGGGGAAGGCGAGCGAACGCGAAGTTCGACACGTAACCGAGCAGGATACCGAAGTTGATGAACACTTCCGGGAAGGACGTCAGGAAGCCGCGGACTGCCGCCGGCGAGATCTCGGCGGTGTAAACGGGCGCGATCATGATCGCGTAGCCCACCCCGACGCCAGCCACGAACCGGCCCGCCATGAGCATGGCGTAGTTGACGGCGAAACCCATGAGCAGCGAGCCGGCGAAGAAGATGGCAGCGGCGAAGACCACAGTGAAGCGGCGCCCAATCCAGTCGGACGTCCGCCCTGCCGCAAAGGACCCGATGAGCGAGTAAATGTTCAAGATGCCCATCACTATCTCCAGCTGCACGTCCGTGATCTTCAGGTCCTTCTTGATGTATATTGCTGCTCCACTCATCACCCCAATGTCTGCAAATAGTTGGATAGTACACAAATCGCCTACAAAACTCTTACAAAGCAAAATGGAAACAACAAAAGATATGAGCCATATGGGTACCATATCCAACGATGATGACGGCCATGGAGGCGAGGATGGCACACATGGAGGCATACGTGACGTTGCTCTTCTTCCTGGGCTCGGCGGAAGTCATCATTAACAGTGGTCTCTGATTAACGATTAGAGACAAGGACACAAGGTGGTGTGCAGTGGTTTAGTGAAGTGTTGTGTTGAAGGAAACGCCATATTTATGGACAACAAGAAATGGGTCTGGTAGAAGATGTGATCATTGGGCCCTATTCTGGTCAACAGGGACGTGGCGTTGGACCGGGAAGGTTATTTTCTCGATAATTTGTTTCACGAAATGTATACGCAATCGCATCGGCGCGTACCCACCATTTATCACTACACAAATAGTAACATCTTTCTTTTATAAAAATGAGCGCACATGGCAAATCTAAAATTTATTAACATCGACCACAATAAACCTAAACTTGCCTTCTCATATTATACCCAATCCGTCCATTGCAGCAGTCACGGGGAGTATACGAACATGAATGCCTGCTTGTGTGCTATGAGCCTATGAGGCTATGACCATGCGTCAATGACCCTAATCCTGTTTCAATGTGTAGGGGTAATGGTTAACCAATTATTTTTAGTCCTAGCTTATTCAAAAGAGGGCTAATAAATAGACTAGTAAAAAAATTTAACTAATTGTTTACCAACTAGCTAGTTAACATTAGATGTGCTAGAGCAAGTATAATAATTGGCTTAGTGGCGGACCCAGTGTCCGGCGACCCTAGGCGCCTACCCGAGCTCCAGCGTCTGTGCATGCTAGAGTTTTTGTTGCAACACCCTCTGTAGCAAAGCTTAAGACACACGGTCTCATCGATGTCCTGTGATTTGCCCAGGCTCGACTCATGAGCTGTGTCCGCCACTGAATTGGATTATAGCCAAGCAGATACTGATATGGAGAAGAGATGAGAGGAGAGAGGAGAGCTTGGCTCTAATACAAGCAACAAGCTGGGCACGAAAGCATATGCAGTTGTGGACCCATATATTAAGTGAAAGTGAAGAGGAATAGAAAAGGAAAGGTGGGACATAGCTAAAAATAACAGCACAAAAAATTTAATTTTTTATAGATAAATAAGATACTACTATTGTATAGCTTGACTCTTGCAACTTGACTAATAGCCAAACACTTGCCTCTATTATTAAGCTTGCTCATTAAAGACAGAGAAGAAGATGAAGACATAATTAGGATTAGGGTTTTGTTACTTGCACGACCGAAGCACCGAAGTTACCATTCATGTCCAAGATCCACGGATCTGAGGATAGAGGGAGACTAGGTGTAGGGGGATGGATCCGATGATTATCTCATGGCTCACCACCGACGGGTAAAGATGGCGAGAGATGTTTTTGGACCCATTTTGCCTTATAAACTGTGGCAATTCTCTTCTTTTTCCTAATATATGCTGGAATCAAAGGTTCCAGATGTTTCAGAAAAAGATAGGGGAGAGAACACGGAAAGAAGGCTAAAACAGGTGGCTGCAATGACCGACATTTTAGACCCAATGACGGTGATAGAGATGGATGAGGAGAGAGATTGATAGCCGATGAGGAGCAAGGAGGCGATGCGGGACAGTGGGAGCACCTGTGCCGCAAACAAGGATGGGAGCATGGCGATATGGTTAGGGAAGAAATGTCGGCAGGAGCAAAACATATATAGGGTGGAAGGTTAACGGGTCACGTCGAGCCACGCAATTAATCATGTTGGGATAGGCTGGCACAGGCATGATTAGCATCAACCCATTCTGTGCCTGGGCCAAGATGAGATAGCAGGCCGTGTGCAGACCCATGAACCTCCTTTTGAGTAGAGGTGGGACTTGGATTGTGCCGTGCCGGCCCTATCATGGTTCATGCATTTTGGATTGTGACTTCTAGACACGTGATGCATGTCGAGCCGTGCCGGTATAACACAACAAGTTCTTGCTTTAGCCCAAACACGGTCCATGTCACGCCGGTACGTTCGTGTCGTGCAAACCCAAACACGCTCTCAAAATATTTTTGTAGATATATACTTACGTGCCATTTTTTATGATGTGCTGGTAAAGACCATGCAATCCATCCTGCCGTAGGCACGGCAGGGACCAAATATTTTTATGCTGCGTCGTAGCAAAAGACCATGCCACACCCCACCCTCAAATAACACGGTTCAAGCCATACTCTACTTTTGAATACTGTAGTCATAAAATACATTCACGAACACTTTACGCATTACCACATATAATTGCACACTTACGTGCAGACAAACCAAAGCGCAAAAACAGTATCGTGTGGTCAACTCTGACGCAAGGAGTCTCGCGGAGGCGTCATCTGCTTCGGTGCCCGCGTCAATCGTGCCGAACAGCTCTCCCATCTCCTCCAGCGTCCGGCCGCGCGTCTCCGGGAGACAGGTGAAGAAGAACACCCACGAGAGAGTGACGATGCCGGCGTAGAGAAAGAAGCTGCCGCCGATGGTGATGGCGCTGGACAGCGACAGGAAGGTCATGGAGACGACGCTGCTCGTCACGCGGTTGCACGCCACGCCGACCGCGTAGCCCAGCGCGCGAACCCGCAGCGGGAAGATCTCCGAGGTGTAAACCGCCGTCATGGGCCCGAGGCCGATCGAGTAGAACGACACGAATGCCAGAGTGGACGTGACACACAGGGCCACGGCCCAGGGAACTTCGGTGTGTGGGTGCCGGCCCACGACGGTGAGCCCTGTGCCGAGACCGACGAGCGAGACGGCCATGCCGCCGGAGCTGGTCAGCATCATCGGGGGCCTTCCGACGCGGTCCAGGAGGACCGCGGCCAACAGCACGATAACAGTCTTGGTGACGCCGACGGCGCAGGTGCTGGCGAGGAGCTGGTCGTCGTCGGTGATGCCCGCAGCCCGCGCTCTGGAACACGCGCGGGCTGTACAGCACGACGGAGTCAACGCCTGAAGCCTGCTGGAAGAATTGGAGGCCAAGCGTCGCAAGCAGGATGCGCCGCACGATCGGGGTCGGGGACAGGATCAGTTCCTTCCAGACCTGCTTCTCCTCGGCGCTTTTCCTCTTGGGCACGGTGACCACGTCGCCGTCGGCTTCGTGCGGGATTCCAGCGGCAGCCTTGATGTCGGCCAGGCGTTCCGCAGCCTCCTCCGGCGTCTCGGCGATTCTTTCCAGTACGAGCCTGGCGTCCGCGAGGCAGCCCTTCATGACGAGCCAGCTGGGGGACTCGGGCATGCCGAACACCATGAGCGCCAGCAGGACGGACGGCGCCGCGCCGATGCCGAGCATGACGCGCCAGCCGAGGTGGAGCGGCAGGCAGGCAAAGGCATAGTTGGAGACGTACCCGAGGAGGATCCCGACGTTGATAAACACTTCGGAGAATGAGGTCAGGAAGCCGCGGGCCCACGCGGGGGACACCTCGGCGGTGTACACCGGCGCGATCATCAGCCCGTAGCCCACGCCGACGCCGGCCACGAAGCGGCCGAACATCAGCGTGGCATAGTCGCCGGCGAGGCCCATGAGCAAGGCGCCGACGAGGAAAAACGTGTTAGTTGATCTCCACCGCCCTATTGGGCCCTTGATCTACACCCTGATCGGGGGCGCCCAACCCTAATATGGTTGGTGAACTCCTATCGCACAGCACTATAAATAGAGAGGTGGGGATCAGGGCTCGGACTACGAGGTTGACCAGAGCCGCCGTGACCCACGAACAGAAAACATAATCCGATCTAAAGTGAGTGATGTCAGCGACGGAAAGCCACCACCAACCTCACCGTCGCCTCTGCATCGCCACTGGACCTCGTCTCCACCACGTTGGACTCCACCGCGCCGAGCTCCATCGACACCGGCATCCACGAGGCTACGGCGCAACTGCGCCAGGGCGAACTAGAGGAACACTAAGTAAGATGCTTACCCCGATCTACGGTTCAGAGGCACTGTTGCATCTAACAATGGTACCAGAGCCAAGGTTGCCAGTGTGTAAATCTAGTATAAGGTAAAGCATTGAAAAGAAATCAAAGAAAGAACAAGGGTTCGATTCGTTTTGGATTGAAACCCTAACCCTAACCGGGTAAAATAAAATTGAAAAGAGACCGGGGGTGGCGGACGTCACTGAACTCCCGGTCACCACCGCCACCGTGCGGGGGAAAGGTGCCGCACCGCCGTCTTCGCCGGCGCACGGCAAGAAAAGAACCGACCTAGTTCGGATCTGAGAAGAGAAGAGAAAGAGGTCTCGACACGCGAAGCCGAACCCTGACCAACAAAGCACTCACTGGGGAAGAAGAATAGTGACTCCAGTGAGTCAAACCCTAACCCTAACCCCAAACCCAAATCGATTCAACTCTGAAAAGAAAAGAAAAGAAAGAAGATCCAAAAGAGAAGAAAGGGAAGAGGGGAAGGGGCTTATCTCGAAGATCTTGAATCAAAACAGAGAGAAAATTGAATCGGGTTCAACCGAACCCTAACCCTAACTCACGACGAGGAAGGGGAAGAGAGCGATTCGGTACAAATAGAAAAGAAAAGAAATCAAATGAAAAAGATGAACTGAATCGATCGAAACGAATCGGGTTAATCCTAACCCTAACGATTCCCTTACCCTAACCCTAACTGGATGAAGGAAAGAACAAAAGAAGAGAGATTCGGCCTAGAAGAGAATCAAAGCCGAACCCTAAAACCCGTAAAGACTCAACGGGGATGATACACAGTGAAACCCTAACCCAAGACTGTAACCCTAGAACGAATCCCCATCCCAATCGGACTCAACCGAGAAGAAAGGAGAAAGGGAGAAGAGGAAGAGCCGTTTTGTCATACCTCGCCACTGCGCAGTGTTGCTGCCTCGCCGGCGCGCGAGGAGAAAAAAGGAGGATGATCCCACCTCATGAAGTATAGAACACTGAGAAATTTCAAATGGAGGATGATCCCACATCATTTGAAGAAGCCATGAGAAGTGATCATTTATCAAAGTGGCTTGAGGCCATGGAAAATGAAATGAAATCTATGAATGCCAATAAAGTTTAAGACTTGAAAATAATTTCTAAAGAAGCCAAAATAATAGGCTATAAATGGGTCTACAAAACAAAAACTTGACTCTCAAGGGAATATAGAGAGATATAAAGCTCGACTTGTGGCAAAAGGCTTTATGCAAAGAGAAGGGATTGATTACAATGAGACCTTTTCTTCAGTCTCATGTAAGGATTTCTTCAAAATCATAATGGCATTAGTGGCACATTACGATTTAGAATTACATCAGATGGATGTAAAGACGACATTTCTCAACGGAGACTTGGAGAAAAATGTTTACATGGCACAACCGAAAGGTTTTGTCATGGAAGGAAAAGAACGAATGGAATGCCGTCTAAAGAAATCCATTTATGGATTAAAACAAGCTTCAAGACAGTGGTACTTGAAGTTTGATTAGACAGTAAGGAATTTTGGGTTTAAAGAGAATGTTGAGGACAATTGTGTCGATGCAAAGTTTAAGAATGGGAAGTTTATCTTCCTTGTCATGTATGTGGATGATATCTTACTTGCTAGTAGTGATGTCAGTCTACTACTGAAGACAAAGAAGTTTTTGTCCTCAAAATTTTGATATGAAAGATCTTGGTGAAGCTTCGTTCGTTCTAGGGATCGAGATTCACCGAGATAGAAGTAAAGGGGTATTAGGACTGTCACAAAAGGCATACATAGAAAAGATCTTAAAGAAATTCAGTATGCACAAATGTAGTCCCTCACCTACTCCTATAGTCAAGGCCGACAGATATGGGGATTTTCAATGCCCCAAGAACCAGTATGAGATCGATTAAATGAAAACAGTTTCATATGCTTCAGTTGTCGGAAGCTTGCAATATGCTCAAGTATGTACGCGCCCTGACTTGACATTTGTTACTGGGTTACTTGATAGATTACAGAGCAATCCTGGAACAGAACACTAGAAATTAGTAAAGAAAGTCTTGCGTTATTTGCAAGGAACGAAAGACCTCATGATGACGTATAGAAAATCTGATTCACTCCATATATTGGGATATTCATATTCTGATTAAGATGATAGAAAATCCACGTCTGGATATGTATTCACTCTCGCAGGGGGAGCTATTTTATGAAAAAGCTCAAAGCAAACCGTTACTACATCGTCCACAATGTATGTCGAGTTTGTAGCGTGTTATGAGGCAACGGGGCAGGTGAACTGGCTAAAGAAGTTCATACCCGGTTTGAAGGTGGTTGACGACATCTATAGACCACTTAAGTTATACTGCGATAATAATCCGGCAGTACAGTATGCTCACAACAATAAGTCAAGTGGTGCTGCCAAACACATTGACATAAAGTATTATGTTGCGAAAGATAAAGTCCGGGATCATGTTATAAGTCTTGAGCATATAAGTACCGAAAAGATGCTCGCGGATCCGCTTACAAAAGACTTACCACCCAACGTGTTCAGAGAACATGTAGCTAGCATGGGTTTAAGGGAAAGCCTAAAATTCCTGAACAAAAGAAGGCTCAAAGTTAAGTATCTATTTCAGAACAGAGTGGTGTGTTGTAGCTGTTAAATCTATCGGCAATTGACCGTGACGATGAAACATGCTCTATGCACTAATCTATAATAGAATGAATAAAAGTAAATGATATGAAATTAAAAGATGGTATTGAGATCAAGGGGGAGAATGTTAGTTGATCTCCACCAATAGGCCCAACGGTCTATTAGGCCTTTGGATCTGCGCCCTGATCGGGGGCGCCCAACCCTAATATGGTTGGTGGGCCCCTGTCACACAGCACTATAAATAGAGAGGTGGGGATCAGAGCTCGGACTACGAGGTTGACCGGAGCCGCCGTGACCCACGAACAGAAAACCTAATCCAATCTAAAGTGAGTGCTGCCCGCGACGGGAAGCCGCCACCAACCTCACCGTCGCCTCTGCATCGCCACTGGACCTCGTCTCCACCACGCTGGACTCCACTGCGCCGAGCTCCCTCGATACCGGTATCCACGAGGCTACGACGCAACTGCGCCAGGGCGAACTAGAGGAACCCTATGTAAGATGCTTACCCCGATCTACGGTTCAGAGGCACTGTTGCATCTAACAAAAACGCGGCCGCAACAATGACGGTGAATCGGCGGCCGATCCAGTCGGATGTCCGCCCCGCCGCGAAGGAGCCGATGAGCGAGTAGAAATTGAGGTTGCCCATCAGGATCTCCAGCTGCACGTCCGTGGTCTGGAGGTCCTTCTTGATGTACAGCGCCGTCCCGCTCATCACCCCGATGTCTTCCAAGATGAACAGTGCGACAGATATCGTGACCCATGTATGCAGATCAAAAGAACGATGATTTAGTGACGTGAATCGTCAGTCCTGCAGTGTACCGTAGCCAAGGATGATGGAGGCCATGGAGGCGAGGATGGAGCAGATGAAGGCATACATGACGCTGCTCTTCTTCTTGCGCTCGACGACCTCCGAAGCGGGAAAAGCCATCGCTGGCACCTCCTTGCTTTCTGCTTGAGGTGCTGCAGTCTACTGATGTTCTAGTGATTAGCAGTAGTGGTGCGTAGTACTCCATTTCTGAGAGGAAAGTCTGATCGACCCTTCCAAAAAACAAAACAAAACAAATGGTTGTGACAGATCAGAGCAACTGTGACGTGGTCATATATATCAGAAGATCCGTAAGGAGAGCCTTTTCAATTTGGGGGAAGCTTGTGCGTGCAAACAAGTTCCGAAAATTGTGAAGTATTGATAGATTGACTTAGGGATTGAACTAGATTTCGGGGCCAATTAAAAATCCTAACACTTGATGGGTGATGAAGGAATATCAGCAACGTGATAATTTAGTTTAGGATTTCCGTACCAAATGTTTCGTATGGGCTGGACCTTCTTGTTCACGTAAAAACTTGGGAGTATGCAGTCGGCACATTGTGTTTTTTAACTTTGGAACAAGAACGACTCCGATAAGAACGTCCGTGAGAATTGAGAAATACTCAAGGACACCACAACTCATCTTCATTTCAACTATTCGGGCTGGTTTAGATCCAAACTCGCCACAGCTAAAGTGGTAGACTAAAGTGACCACGTTAGGTTCCTGCATCTGTGTTCTTTGGTATGTTGAGGATTTGGTGATGGAGATTGGTAAATTGGTGAGCTAGGTATGTTGAGGATTTGGTGATGGAGATTGGTAAATTGGTGAGTTAGTCATTGCAAGTAACTTATCGCAAAACACATCAGACTACGCATCCTATGCCGTCTATCGTCACCTTGTGTTTTTAACTTTGAAAATGAGAACGACTTCCGATAACAACGTCCGTGACAAAGACTCAAAGTCACGGCGCAGGACCGAGCGCGATCCACACCAGGGCCATCAGCGAGAGCAGCATTGTCGCGGACAGGCCCCTCACCCACTTCATCTGCTCCTGAGGCCGGGTCACGCTGCCGGCATTTGTCTGCGTGCGCCTGCTCAGGTGGCAGCCGCGGGCGAGCGCTCTCACCAGCAGCCAGCCGAGCTCCACGAGCACGAGCGACATGGGGAAGGACATCAGG